CAAAAATATCAAGCCTAAAAGTAAATGGATGACATTAGGTCTAATGAGTCAATTAATAAAACTACTGTAAGGAAGCAAACAAATAAAAAACGAGTGTCTGATGTTAGAGCTAATGAATCTAGGGAGCAAACTGCAATTAGAAATGAGAATAATAAGAAAAACATGGCTAATTGCAGAGCTAACGAATCAATTGCTGAAACAACTTTTCGAAATAAAAAGAATATGCTTCACATGTCTCATTTAAGGGCAAAAGAGTCTGCTGATGAAATAGTTGCAAGGAATAACAAAATCGTCAAAGAATGTGTGAATTAAGAGCAAATGAAACTTTTGCAGCTGCTGCACACAAAAAGCAGATAAACAAGCATAATATGTTCATTGCTATGAGAGACAAAACTCCAGAGCAATCAAGTTAGAAAAGCACTCAATGCTGTTAGTCAGAGGTCCAATAGAAGTAAACCGAGTTCTTTAGATGACACTATAGCATCTTATTTAAAAAAAATTAGATTTGGTCTAGACTGTGTGTATAGTATGCCATTGTATGATGTACTATCATAGTGTGTATCAGTTTCACAAAAACAAATGTAGCATAGCTAATCCTGAAATGCCACATAGAGTTTTGTCAGTCATGTATGTATGTAAAGATTGTACTCAATCTGTTTGCCATACTTGTGATCGAGCCTTGAAGGGAGCTAAAATCACAGTAATGGCCAAAATAAATGGATTAATGTCACCAGAAGTACCACCGGAGCTTAAGAATCTAAATGACATTGAAATTAGTCTTATTAGCTTGAGGATACCATTTATGAAAATGGTATCCTTGCCTGCTGGTAAGCAAATGTCAATACACGGACCAACTGTAAATGTTCCTTGTAATGTAAATAATATTTGCAATGTGCTACCACATTTACCGTCTCAGAGTGAAATCATAGCTTTAAAACTTAAAAGAAAGTTGTGCTACAAAGGACATTACATGCATGGGTATGTACGTCCTGATGTTTAATGCTTTATGTTGGCTTAAAGTTCACAACCTGCTTTATAAAGATATCGAAATAAACTGAAATTGGGTAGCTGATGCAGCTGTAGATGACAAAGTAATTTTTTCTAGTTTGTTGCAAGAACCCATCATTGAGAATAACTGTAGATAATACAAGTTCACTTGAAGGAAGTGATGTCAATGAGGTTCCTATGGAATCCATTGAACTGAATAGCAATGTACCTGCTGAAAATGTTTCAGTAAGTGATGGATTATTATCTGAAATTAACAGCCAAAATGAAGTTGCTATGGAAGTAGACACTCCATAATATAACCTTGTTAGCTTTGTAAGGCAGCATGGTTATGTTATTTTGATGTGCTAGGAGATCGTAGCAGCCTTTTTCATGCCATTGCACATCAACTTTCGAGTAATGTATTTGCCTCTGATTTAAGAGCAAGAGTTGTAGCTTACTTGAGATCCAATCCTACAACTCCTGACGGCAGTCATCTTTCTGACTATATTACTAGTGTCTCTGGTAATACATTGTCATGGGACTACTACATTTTAAGTTTAAGTGGTTGAGCTTGGGGTGATCATATTAAAATTTTGGGTTAAGTAATATGTTAAATATTCGTATAAAAATTTTCACAACACTTGGCTCAAACATTGTCACTGTTACCCTAAATAGTGGCAACACCATAGATACTGTACATATAGGTCAGATGAGTGAAACTCACTTAGTTGGCCTTGATCCCATCTCTAGCATTAATGGTTTAGCTAATGAGCCATCAAATGTATCTACTACATATAACACTGTACACTCTACTAGTACTGATAGTCTTGCACCTGTAGTTAGTTCAAATGCTAACAATGATGTTGATCCTGATACACTTGATGATGCCACAATCCGAGAAGATGAGTATTTAAGACAAATAACAGGTGGGGCTGCAATGGCAAGTGTATTATTGCCACAGGATCCTGAGGTAGAAGCCCAAATTTATTCCCTTGCTCCAGCTGAAGGACAGCGCCTTCTTGATATTATGACAGATCCTATTTTTGAAGAAATGTCTAACCTCACCAAATTCCCATATGGCAGTGGAGATTACAATACTGAAAGACTTTGTAAAATTTTCTTAGAAAATACTACCAGCAACGTCTGTTGGACGTTGATAGAAGATTTTCTAGGGACATAGAATATATAGTTGGTTCTCAATATATAGTTGAAAACAAGCAAATAGAGGGAGCTGCCAGAAATTACATTTGGCGGCAAAAGCCGAGTAGTAACCTCACTGCTCGTGAGGCACGAAATCAAGCAGTGATCAGTGAAAACATACGTAATGATAAAGCGTATGCATTTTTAAAGAGTGTCAGGGGATCTCCTGCATACTATCAGCATACTTTTTATGACCTGCTTGCAATGGTACGTCAGTTAGGCACTCCCACTTGGTTTTTTACATTTACAGCTGCCGACATGAAGTGGCCTGATTTAATTTCAGTTATAGCTAGGCAGCACGGTGTTACATACACTGATGAAGAGATAAGCAGACTTTCTTTTGATGATAAATCTAATTGAATCAGACGTAATCCTGTTACTGCTGCCCGTCATTTTCAATACCAGGTTATATACCTTTTTTAATGATTTTTTTTAAGTCTT